GCAGTCTTTGAGTGCATATTAATAACAACAATCTTGACTTTAGTCTGTATTTGTCACTGGTTTTGTTGTTTCTGTTGTTAGTTGTTTTACAGTCAACTATGGCTCATAAGGACCCCATAAATTTTTAGTGGTCTCCATATGCATGGAGACCTTACATATAGGAAAAGAAAATGTTGTCCAGTCTATCCTTAAGATTGTAGTATATTTGAGTATCATGTTTTGGTTGTTGTATAAATTCATCTTGTTGAGAATTTCTCTCATTTTCACGGACCCTTTGCTTCCCCATACATGATATTCATTGCATGTGATTGGTGTTGCATGAGGATGTGCCCAAAACAAGTGATCTGAAGTCATGGAATCTTCATTCCTAAGAAGCATTTTGATATTTCTTGTAAGACTTACATGCTTATTTAATTGAAATTTCTTCTAAGACTTATGTAGATTTATGTGTTCATTTCTCTGTTCATGCCATAGCATGTTTATCAAGGCAGGATAAAGAGGCTAGGAGTTGGGATTATAAATGAACTCTTGAGTCATCCACTTGGTTTAGGTTTCCCCATTTTCAAACTATGGAAATGTTAAAAATTGCTCAGTGTTTCCACCCTTCAGCTTCTGTACTTGTAAAATTTAGATGATGGTACGTCTTTGGAATTATTTTAAAGATGAAAGCCAAATCAGTTTCTCTTGAGTAAATTTGGACTCAAGGAAACATCCTTTTTGCAAAGTAGAACTTTGTTCCATGGGGCTTTACTCTTTATTTTTTTGTGGTTTGAATTTAAAGAGTATAGTAGATTTCCATGCAACAATTTAACATATTTTATCTCATAGCCTATTTTTCTATCCCACCAATGTAACAGCAATATTTATAGGGTTTCCTGTGTACATTGGTCCTTCTTTCCTGTCTTTTCCTTCTTTATAATATTTGTTTTGGGACAAATGCTGCTCTTTCAGTCTCAAATGGCTAATTGTCCTGAGGTTATATATTCCCCACAAGTGTTATTTGTTTATTCCACAGATTCATCTTTTGTTGGATCCAAAAGTAATCTGTAGGGATGGGTTTATTTGTACCTGCTTTGGTGGTGCAGTCCTTAGGAAGTTGTGGTTCTAATCCAAAGGCTACTTTTCTCTAATAGACTGAATCTACCAAAAGCTCCATGGAAGAAAAATGAACAGTCTCTTCCTGTATAATTTACTGTTGGAGGATTTCTAACTTGAAAACAGTGAGTTGAGTTGACAATTTGAAGTGAAAGGTTACAGATTTGGAAGGAATAGGGATGAATTTTATTTGGATCTTTTTGAGTTATCTGTGGCACTCCTGGAGACACTTAGATATGTAAAGAAAGACCGAGATCTAGGCTTTCAGTGCTACTGCTTCGCTAGTAGCAAATGAGAAGAAATTTTAGAGATAAATCTGAATATCTTCTCACAGTTAAAGCACTTAGTCACAATGTAGAATGCCACATTCATTTTTCTTTTTCCGTAATTCTCCCATCAATTTAGATTCACTTATATGTGAAAATAAAATTCAACTAAAGTAGAGCAAAGCTTAAATGAATGATAACCTCGATCTCATCCATCTTAGCATAAAAAAAAGGATGCTTAAAGTCTGTCAGGCAACAAAAGGGAGATAAATCACACCATAGAAACAATGTGCCCATTCACCTTTTTATATGATACTTTATACTGGAACAAAATTAAATCCTAAAGAAAGATAAACATTTGTTCACCATAGGATTAAATCCTGATACTACAGTAGGATGTGTTGTTATTTTTCCGTTTACACAGTAAACATGACAAAGCTAGGAACTGTGTTGGGTGAAAACTTGTCAGAGAAGGAGAACTCAAAAATTTCCCTAATAGAGAGTTAGGAAGCTCTTGTGGCCTAGTGGTAAGAAGCTGTGCTGCAATCTCGAAGGCTCACTTTTGGAGGTGGCCAGCTGCTTCTGCTGGCCTCTGAAAACCTGCTGGAGGGTCAGCCATGGGTTAGTTCCCACTCTATGTTACACAACAACAAAGAGTGAAAGAAAAGTGTTAAGACAACAGTCACCCAAACCCAGAAATCCTGATAGACCCAGAAATAAATAAGAAGAAGCAATTTTGTTGAGCTCCAGCTATCATAAATGTCATTGAATATAATTTTATTAAAATGGAGAGAGTCTCAGAAGAAATAGGACCATATCATCTCTTACTTTTCTTTTTCTCTCCGTCTTTTCCCCATCCTTTCCCATTCCTTGCCTGCCTATTTTAAAAAGTCTCTTCCATTTGCCTGTCTATGCTAAAGACTTTACTCTTGACAGGCAAGTTTACTACTAGAGACGGTAAAGAAAGAAGATTTTGTTGTTGTTGGTTTTGGTGCTGTTGTTTTTTTTTTAATTTGAAGGTCAAGTTTATTTTGAATAGTTACTTTGTATGGTTATTGTTGTTGTTATGTGCCGTCGATTCACTTGGGTCTCACAGCATCCCTATGTACAACAGCCCTAAACTCCGCTCTGTCCTGTACCAATCGCACCGTCTCCAACACTCCCATCCCAGTTATCCCAGTCACTGAATAAATCCACCTCATAGAGGGCCTTCCTCTCCTGCACTGTCCCTCCACCCTCCCAAGCATGATGTCCTTCTCCAAAGACCTATCTCTCCTCACAACATGTCCAAAGTATGTTAGACGGAGTCTCAGAATCCTTGCCTCCAAGGAGCCACCCGGTTTAACCCTTTCCAGGACAAATCTGTTTGTTTTCCTAGCAGTCCATGGTATTCTCAATACTCTTCTCCAGCACCACAGCTCAAAGGCATCAATTCTCCTTCTATCCTGCTTGGTCATTGTCCAACTCTCTGGTGCATAACAAGTGATTGCAAGACCACGGCCTGTATCAAATGCACCTTAGTCTCCAGAGAGACACCATTGCTCTTCAGTACTTTGGAGAGGTCCCTAACAGCAGACACTCCCATAGCAGTGCACCTTTTAATTTCCTGGCTGCTGGTGCCAAGACTGTTGACTGTGGAGCCAAGCAAACTAAAGCTGTTTACAATCTCAATCTCTTCACCATCCATTCTGATGCTGCCAATTGGTCCAGTGGTGAGAATCTTTGTCTTCTTGATATTGAGCCTCAATCCATATTGTAGGCTGCAGTTCTTGACACTCTGCAGCAGGCGCTTCAGGTCCTCCTCAGTTTTAGCAAGCAGGGTTGTGTCATCCACATAATGCAGATTGTTGATAAATTGTCCACCTATCTTGACCCCACATTTCTCCTTATAGGGCCCAGCATCCCGGATAATCTGTTCTTGCATATAGGTTGGAAAGGTATGGAGATAGAATGCATCCCTGGCGTACGCCCTTCCCAATTTTGAACCATGCAGTGTTCCCTTGCTCTGTTCTGACGACTGCCTCCTGGTCCAAGTATAAGTTTCGCGTTAGAACGATCAAGTTTCTGGGATTCCCATTCTTCTCAGAGTCAGCCATAGTTTGTTATGATCTACACAGTCAAATGTAAGGTTTTACTATACCCAAAACTATTGAATCCTTTGCAACTAATAAACAACCTTCATTGTACACTTATGTTTATTTCAGCTTTTTTTCTCGATAGCAAAGAATTGGAAATAACCCCAGTGCCCATCAACAAACAAATGGATAGAGAATCTCTAGTATATTCACACAATGGAATACTATATAGCATTGAAAAACAAAGAACTCATGAAATATAATGCAAAATGGATGACCTTGAAGGACATTGTGCTGAGTGAAACAGCCCAGTCACAAAAAGACAAATATGACATAGGCCCACTGTTACAAAAGAGGGGTTGGGGGAAGACTGAGAAGGATGGGACAAATAATGTATACTTCACTGAAATAGATGAAACTGCTTAAAAGGGATATGTGATTAGGTTTTATTGTCATGACAGGAGTCCAGAATGAAGGTAGTATAGTGCAGTGGACTTAGGGGGAGGGATTGTCTAACAATGAAAGAATTTTTTCTTGTACTTTTCAAAAAGAAAAGCAAATTGGGGGAGGGGTGGGCAGGGAGGAAAGTGTAATAATAAATGACTGGAAATCCAAAGTCTCTGTAAACTTTCATTAAAATAAAAAAGATTTTTTTTAAAAAAGTGTAAGATAATAAGATACTCACAGAGATTATGAAAACATATCAGTAAGCATGGTTAAATGAAGGAGAGGTGGTGTAAGTGGACTGGAAAGGAAAGACATTACTGAAGAGCTAGTGTTTGAACATATGGATGGCAGTAAAGCCAGGGACTGGGTTAGACCAGTTAAAGTAAACAGGAAAGGTTGATGAAGACATGGCAGTTTAGGAATTTCCTCTCAAACAAAACAATTGTGTGGATCTTTGGTGGTGTGATGATTAGGCTAAAGAGTGTGTGTGTGTGTGTGTGTGTGTGTGTGTGTGTGTGTGTGTGTATTCACATATTTTAAGAAATACAGCAGTTAGAGTGTTGATAGATGGTTTAGTAAAGAGGAAAAAAAGACTGATGTGAGATCTGAACACACAGTTCAACAAACAATGTATTTAAGATTAGAGAGATGAGGTCAATCCACACTTGGAGAGGTTGTCTGGAGGCAGGAGTGTGATCATTGCAAGCATCGTCTCAAGAAGAAGGCAGAGAACATGGGGTACTTAGTAGCTTTCAGGTTGAAAAATCAGTGAAATTCTTTTAGATTGTTTTTATGACATATATAACAAAATAATTCACAAGAATTGAAAAAAAATGTGAGATGATATTGGAGTGTTGCTGATATGTAGGGGACTAGCTAGTGCGGGATGAATCAAAGTTGAAGGATTTTGAAATAGACACTACTCTTCCACATGGGCCAAATGAATCTCTCACTAGACAGTTAAAACATATGTTAGGTATATCAATTCTTAATTCTAAAGGTTGGAAGTTTGCTTAAATTCTGGATTGTATATGACATTATACCCAACCAAATGCTTATGTGCAGTAAGTTTCTGAATGTTCTCTCGTTCTTATGAATTGTGTGTGATACTTTTCAGTACACTTCTGCTCTGACCTATGATGCCGTGCAAGTGATGACTGAAGCTTTCCGCAACCTTCGAAAGCAGAGGATTGAAATCTCACGGAGGGGGAATGCTGGAGACTGTCTAGCAAACCCAGCCGTTCCCTGGGGACAAGGGGTAGAAATAGAAAGGGCCCTCAAACAGGTAAGTCACACTGTATGACTCTTAATATGACTTGACAACTTAACATTGTCATTAAAATTATTATTTTCTGAATTATGTTATGCTTAACATACAGGGAATTTTATTTTCTAATTGCCCAAAAGCAGGTGGCAGATTGAAAAGAACCCTTAACATGTAGTTTTCCTTGACTTGAGCCTAGTGAGAGTTATCTGTTCAGTTTCTGTCTTTAATTGAAGTAAATTTATAACTGTGCCTCCTTCCCATTTCCCCTTTAGGTTCAAGTTGAAGGTCTCTCTGGAAATATAAAGTTTGACCAGAATGGAAAACGAATAAACTACACAATTAACATCATGGAGCTCAAAACTAATGGGCCCCGGAAGGTAAATCCTTTATGATTTAAAGACAATTCTCTCTATGAAGCAGAGAGTTAGCTAAGCAATCATCTCACTTTCCAAAAACCTGGAGACTTGTATTCCCCAAAACAGAGATGAATACCTTCCAGAAACAGACAAATTTTCCATTTTTTTCTAAGTCCAAATATTTTTAACTCTAGTAAGTACCACAGTTACAAGAAAAGTAGACCTGCTATTGATAGTATTGATGATATCTGAGTAAAGATATTACTGAAGGTTTAACATTTGGAAGCCAAAAAATCAAGTGTAAATTCACTTCTGAGTTTTAAATTTAACATCTTCGTTTTAACCATTATAGATAAAATATTGGTGTTGTATGTGTATTTCAATATGATCATCCCCAAACAAATAAATCCTAGAGTTTACAGAGTGAATATGAGGTGGTTGTTGTTGTTGTTGTTGTTATGTGCTGTCGAGTCACTTGCGACTCATGGCGACCCTATGTACAACAGCCCTAAACTCTGCTCTGTCCTGTGCCAGTCTCATTGTCTCCCACATACTAATCCCAATTGCCCCAGTCACTGAATCAATACACCTCCCAGAGGGCCTTCCCCCTCCTGCACCTGCCCTCCATGCTCCCAAGCATGATGTCCTTCTCTAAGGACCGGTCTCTCTTTACAACATGTCCAAAGTATGTCAGGCGAAGTCTCAGAATCCTTGCCTCCAAAGAAGTCTCAGAATCCTTGCCTCCAAAGAGCAGCCTGGTTTTACCCTCTCCAAGATGAATCTGTTTGTTTTCTTAGCAGTCCATGATACCCTCAGCACTTTGAATCGGATGAATATGACGAGATCAACCATTTCTAAAGTTTGTATTTATAGTTTCTATTCCTGTTAAATTCTCATACATGAAAGACAACTCTATTTAGAGGAAAGCTAAGTTAATTGGTCTGTAATTTTAGATCCAGACACATATTTGAAAATGTTTCAGCGTTTTTCTAAAAGCAGCATTCTTTTCCCATGTAACTGCTTGTTACACACTTTTTCAGATTGGATACTGGAGTGAAGTGGACAAAATGGTTGTTACTCTCACCGAGCTCCCTTCTGGAAATGACACGTCTGGGCTTGAGAATAAGACTGTTGTTGTCACTACAATCTTGGTAAATAGACATATATGCCTTCTTTTATTTCTTTTTTTTTTTAAATAAAAGTGTCTGTAAGAAGAGTTGTCTTTAACACCTATTAATTAACACACTCTGATGGTGTAGTCCTTACAGAGTTCCTGTACTAACCCAAAGGCAGTACACTCTCTAGCAAGTGGAATCCACCACTGTCTTCTCAGGAAAAAGACGAATCATTTTCTCCCGTGTGACTGACAACTTTAGCTGGTTCTGGATTTATGGCCATGAGTTTTGAGTATTAACTAATACAAAACTGCCTTTGCAGTGTTCTGATAATTTATTGCGTATACACTCTGATAAAGAATTACATGAGTTCTAACTGAAATGTGTAAAAACTCCTTATCCAGGTTAAGACTACAGTTTAGCTTTGATAGATAATTTCTAACTCCTTACATACATGGAAGATCAATTGGGAAACACCTTGAAGACTCTGCCTTGAATTTCATCAGATGTTCCTACCTCTTTACTCTCTTACTATCCTAGGTAAACTTTTATGTTTAAATATGAGGTACGATTTTAAAATGTCTACTTCTCTTTTTTTCCACACTAAAATGTAAACTCTTTGATGATAAAGGTAATCTTTTTAACCAGGGCTCAATACAACATCCATTTCCTAAATAACATGCCTCTGGAAACTCTCTGAACTTTGATAAATGATGATAGTTCTAGAAAGGCTTCAGGCCTTTTGTTCATAGGGTCGCTATGAGTTGTGCTCAACTCAATGACAAACAACAACAATCATAACAACAGTAAAACATTGGCAAATAGCTAGTATAAAATATTTTTGATTGAATGTGCTAAACATGAATTGAATATTGCACAGATAGACTTTGGATAGATAGAAGAAAGATGTGGATCACCATGACAGGTTTTTGAGAAAATAAAATAGAAAAAAACGGGCAGAATAAGGTGGCCAAGTGGATAAGGAGTCACACTACCAACCCAAAGGCAAGTGTTTTGAATCCACTATCTATTCCACTGGAGAAAGACAGGTAATCTCCTCAAGAGCAATTTATAGCTTCTTAAAGCCACTGGAGGTACAATTGTGAGCTGGTTCTGAGCTGATGGCAATAAGGTTGAGATTTCAGAATAAGGGAAGAATATTGACAAAGATTGTTGAACATACCATGTATTACCAAAAGAATAGAGAGCTACACTCCCAAACTCAAAGGCAGGAGAATTTGGACTAATTGAATAATTTCCCTTTATTTACTTTTCTTATATTTATTATTGCTGTTAGGTGACCATGAGTTGACAATGATTTTTAGCGAACCTATGAAGAACGGATCTGAACCCTGCCCTATTCTGTGCCCTCTTCACATCTCTGATGTGCTTTAGCTCATTGTTACTATCACTGTGTCAATCCATCTTGTGGAGACCCCACCTCTCTTTCTCTGACCCTCTTCCGAGCATGATGTCTTTTACCAATGACTGGGCCTTCCTGACAACCTTGCCTCTACGAAGCACTCCAGTTGCACTTTCTCCAAAACAGACTTATTTATTCTTTTGGCAGTCCATGGAATATTAAAAACTGTTCAACAACACTAAAATTCAAAGGCACTTATTTTTCTTAACTCAACTTTTTTATTGTCCAACTTTCACATGCATAGGAAGTTATTTAAAAGTTTTAGGGTAATACTATTATTCAGCTATCTTCCTAGAGTCATTTGTTGTTGCTAACCTCTCCAAAGTACTGAAGAGCAATGGTGTCTCTCTGGAGACTAAGGTGCGTTTGATACAGGCCATGGTCTTTGCAATCACTTGTTATGCATCAGAGAGTTGGACAATGACCAAGGAGGATAGAAGGAGAATTGGTGCCTTTGAGCTGTGGTGCTAGAGAAGAGTATTGAGAGTAGCATGGATTGCTAGGAAAACAGATTCATCCTGGAAAGTGTTAAACTGGGTGGCTCCTTGGAGGCAAGGATTTTGGGGCTCTGTCTAACATATTTTGGACATGTTGTGAGGAGAGACCAGTCCTTGGAGAAGGACATCATGCTTGGGAGAGTGAAGGGACAGCGCAGGAGGGGAAGGCCCTCTGGGAGGTGGATTGATTCAGTGACTGGGGTAATCGGGATGGGAGTGTCAGAGATAGTGAGATTGGCACAGGAGAGAGCAGAGTTTAGGGCTGTTGTACATAGGGTTGCTATGAGTCGCGAGTGACTCGAGGGCACATAACAGCAACAACAACAACTTGGTACCAACTCATGCTGGCCCTATTTACAGCAGAAATAAAAATTCTATGCCATCTTCACAATCAGCATCATTCTAGAACATTATATCTTTTTGTTGTTGTTGTTATGTGCCGTCGAGTCGTTTCCGACTCATAGCGACCCTATGCACAACAGCTCTAAACCCTGCTCTATCCTGCGCCAACCGCACCGCCTCTGACACACCCATCCCGATTACCCCAGTCACCGAATCAATCCATCTCATAGAGGGTCTTCCCCTCCTGCGCTGTCCCTCCACCCTCCCAAGCATGATGTCCCTCTCCAAGGACCCATCCCTCCTGGCAACATGTCCAAAGTATGTCAGACGAAGCCCGAGAAACTTTGCCTCCAAGGAGTAGCTTGGTTTAATCCTCTCCAAGATGAATCTGTTTGTTTTCCTGGCAGTCCAGGGTACATTCAGTACCCTTCTCCAGCACCACAGCTCAAAAGCATCCACTCTCCTTCTCACTAAGCAAATCTGGTGTCAAGGAATATGGCAGAAACAGCATAACACTATCACAATAATTCTTTCAGCCTACTTTTTATTGACCATGCACCTAATATCCTATGAACTTTAGCCCTTGGAGTTGTTAGCTGCAGTTATGTAAAGTGGAATTCATAGCAATCCGATAACTGATGGATATGAATCTTGTCCTATCCTATACCATCCTCATCATCTCTGATATACTTGAGATCATTCTTAAAGTCACTGTGTTAATCCATCTTATTGAGAATCTTCCTCTCTTTCGCAAATTCTCCATTATTTTAAGCATGATGTACCTTTCCAAGGACTGGTCCTTCCTGATAACACATCTAGATTATGTAAGATGAGACATCACTATTCCTTGTCTCCAAGGAACACCTTAGTTTCACCTTCTCTAAGTTATATTCATTTGTTAATTAGACAATCCATGAGATATTCAGTAGTCTCACATCTCCAATACCACAACTCAAAGGCATCAATTATGAAAAAAGAAATAAAAAATATCATCCTTATTCATTGTCCCACTTTCAGATGCATAGGAAATAATTGAAAAGATGATGGATTGAATACAGCTTAGTCTTTAAACTGACATCATTGCTCCTTGACACCTTGGAGATATTCTTGTCAGCATATTTACTCAATGCAAGGGTGTTATTTATGGATTCAAGCAAAATGAAATAATTGTCAATGTCAATCATTTCTCCATTGCTCATGATAATTCATTATAATATGTAATCATATAATAGTACTATAATTTAATATAATATTATGATTCATTTTGGTTGTATGTTTGATTTATTTCTACTTCAAAACTTGGTAGAAATAATTTATTTGCTCTTCTTTGACTCTCTTTGCTGATGCATATATTTGAATAATAGTGGTATTAATAGGACTTCTTTGTATATGTATGAATATTATCCTGTTCCTCACACCACTGTATTTTAAGATATATCTAGAAATTACCTTTTTAACTATGACTGCAATCCCATTTTTCCGTAGCTTTTAATCTCCAGCATAGATGGATAGATAATATGATTGTCTGATTCAAAATGTCCTATGCAATTTATTTCACCAATGCCTTTTTATTGGTGTTATGTTCCATTGAGTTGACTATGATTCCTAGAGACCCAATGCACAATAGCTTTAGACCTTGTTCTATCGTGAGACAGTCTCACTGTCTTTGGCACACCCATTTTCCTTTCTCTATTTACTGTGTCTATCCATCTCTTTCTGGGTCTTCCTCTCCTGCCCTGTCACTTAATCCTTCCAAGCATAATGTCAGTTTCCAAGGACTGGTACCTCTTGGCAATGTGCCCAAAGTATATAAAATAGAGTTTCAAAATCTTTGCCTCCAAGGAGCAGCTTGGTTTCATTCTTTCTAAAACATATCTTTTGGTTTTCTTGATTTCTTATGGCATGTTCAGTACTCTTCTCCAGCACTATAATTCAAAGGTATCAATTCTTCTTCTGTCATCTTTGTCATTGTCTACCTCTCTGATGTACAGCAGGTAATGTGAAAGACCAAGGCCTGGATCAGGTGCACCTTAGTCTCTTCACTAACATCCTTGCTTGTTAGCACTGTAGGGAAGTCCCTGATAGCAGATTTTTCCTAATGTACTTTTGATTTCTTGACTGCTAGTGTCAAGAATGTTGATTGTGGAACCGAGTGAGCTGAAACTGTTAACAATCTCAATCTTTTCACCATCTATCATGGTGCTGCCATTTGGCCCTGTGGAGAGAATCATGTTCTTGATGTTGAGCTTCAAACCAATATCTATATATCAATTTTTATGCACTACAAAGATTTTCATTTACTCATGTGGCAAGACTCAAAATGAATATAAGTAGCTGAAGATATTAATTAATTATGGGAATGCACAAAATATGAAATTAGGAATTTTGGAAGTTTTAAAAACCAAAATGGATATCTATATCTACCCAGAATATCAAGCCCCCTGTTGTCTAGTGGGTTCTGACTCATAGTTGACCCTCCATCAGGATTCTAAAACTGCAAATCTTTGCAGTAGAGTTCCCTTCTTTCTCCTTCAGAATCCCTGATTGATTCAAACTGCTGATGTCTCTGTTAACAGTGTAATATTAACATGACTGTGCAATTGTATTAACATAATGTTATTATAAACATAGCAAAGAAGTATAAGAGCTGCTTGTGTTTTGAAGGTCATGCTTTTCCAGGCTTAGCGAGGCTCAAATCATTTTGATGAAATATACTAACAGACACTGGAGGATATTTTTCAGAAGCCTGAATATTTCTTCCTATTTCTATATTGTTGTTGTTGTTATGTGCTGTCAAGTCTCCTGCGACTCATAGCAACCCTATGTACAACAGCCATAAACCCTGCTCTATCCTTTGCCAAGCTTATTGTCTCCAACACACCTATCCCCATTACTCCAGTGACTGAATCAGTCCATCTCATTGAGGATCTTCCTCTCTTGCGCTATCCCTCCACCCTCCCAAGCATGATATTCCTTTCCAAGGTCTGATCTCGCCTTGCAAAATGTCCAAAGTATGTCAGATGAAGCTTCAGAATCCTTGCCTCCAAGGAACAGCCTGGCTTTACCCTCTCCCAGAGAAACCTGTTAGTTTTCTTAGCAGTCCATGGTATATTCCATACTCTTCTCCAGCACCACAACTCAAAGGCATCAGTTCTCCTTCTGTCATCCCTAGTCTTTGCCCAGCTTTCTGATGCATAGCAAGTAATTGCAAAGATACCACTGATAAATCTATAATGTCTCTGATCAACAGGTGATGATCATGTCAAATGTGGATATTCAAATACTTACAAGTTGCTTTAGTCAACTAAAATATTGCTTTCTCATATAGGAATCTCCATATGTTATGATGAAGAAAAATCACGAAATGCTTGAAGGCAATGAGCGCTATGAGGGCTACTGTGTTGACTTGGCTGCAGAAATTGCCAAACATTGTGGGTTCAAATACAAGTTGACAATTGTTGGTGATGGCAAGTATGGGGCCAGGGATGCAGACACAAAGATTTGGAATGGGATGGTTGGAGAACTTGTCTATGGGGTAAGTAGATCCCTTTTCACAAAGCCTTTACATATGAGTAGTTGTTAAGCAAAATGCCTTCCCCCTGATTTCCCACAATTTCTAGAAAGACTATCTTTTTTCCTTATAAACATTGGAAAAATTATAGGCTAAATATAGAAGTAAATATGCAGATTAAATGAAATAGGCATATTAGCACCATCTACTTCTCATTTCTTGTTAAGTTTAGGGGACATTTGTATTGTACAAAGTTCACAAAACTCATTGATACAAAAGACATAAGCTCATGGCATTACCAACTTCAAGCCAAGCATTCCTACTGTATGTTTATGGTAAAGGAGAAGTGTTTGGACAGTATTTATTTTTGCTTTTTTAATTTTTGTTTCTTTTTTATTGAGGCCTTATGTAAGCAATTATTATAATTTCCATGTCGTTCTTTTCTTTCTTTTTCATCCAGGGATGTAATTATTCCTTTCTGATTATGATTCTAGGTACTATCACATTTCTCTGTTTCCCTTACAGAAAGCTGATATTGCAATTGCACCATTAACTATTACCCTTGTGAGAGAAGAGGTGATTGACTTCTCAAAGCCCTTTATGAGCCTCGGGATATCTATCATGATCAAGAAGCCTCAGAAGTCTAAACCGGGAGTGTTTTCATTTCTTGATCCTTTAGCCTATGAGATCTGGATGTGCATTGTTTTTGCCTACATTGGGGTCAGTGTAGTTTTATTCCTGGTCAGCAGATTTAGCCCCTACGAGTGGCACACTGAGGAGTTTGAAGATGGAAGAGAAACACAAAGTAGTGAATCAACTAATGAATTTGGGATTTTTAATAGTCTCTGGTTTTCCTTGGGTGCCTTTATGCAGCAAGGATGCGATATTTCGCCAAGGTTGGTTACTCACCTGCTTCAGCTTTGTGCATTTTAAGTCTCAAATGGATATTCATGGTGTTTATAAATTCACTCAAAGAAGTAAACAGCTGCCAGCTACATGTCCAAGCAGTCCAAGACTCCTTCAGGACATATTCTTACAAATGGCATAAGACTGTGAAATATTTGAACAATATACTCTGGATGTTGATCATATATTTCCCGGGTGAAAGTATACACACCATGAAGAGGCTATAAAATGCATAAGGTTCCTATCATTCCATGCCTTCTTGGAGGGGTACCGTGTTTTTGCTGCATATTCTCATTTTACAGTCATCTGTGTGATAATCCACAGACCTGTATATGGGAAAATGGGCAATATTATTTATTAACTACTTCTTGGACAAAACTTCATTGGCATACATCTCATCTATTTTATTTTTCCATTATTAGTTCATAAAAATGGAATGAGAAAGGAAATATGAAAATTATTTTTCTAGTTAGGTTGCTGCATTGATGAAAATAAATGTATGATAATATATTTTCCAAATATCTACAAATAACAATTGTTAGGGTCATAGTGATAGCTACTCTGTTAGAAAAGGTTGTGTCATATTAAATAACACAATGCATTCACCTTATACAGTAAATTGATATACCACTATCTCGTTTTGAGTATGCTAATCACTGTTATAAAACCTAATTATAAATTATATCATAACATTCTTAAGGCCTTTGTTCACATCATAGACATGAATAAGAAAGATTAACATTTCTTTCTCCTTTTTTCCTGGGAGTAAATCAATCTTGCATGATTACTTTCACCTTTAGAGCCCAAAGTGTTACCAATCTACTAGTACATTTTAACCTGGGCTCCACTATAGTCTTTTAGCCTGTGATCTGTATTAGTAAATACTGAAAAATTTTTCCTAATATTATTATTTCATTACATTGCTATTTTTAAGTACTTCCAAGCATAACAAGTAATTAATTCTGGAAAATGACCCGAGAAGATAAAATATTTAGTTGTATCTCTGCAGTCTTTTCAAAATATCCCACCTACTGAAAGAAGGTAAATATATATTTACAAGAATTATATCACTTACTTCCTTGAAAATAAGGCCTTATTAAAAATATTAAATGCATGAATATTGCCTCTAGTAGATTCCTTACAGCTTCTCTAGGTAACAGCATTGAATTTGAAATATGACAAAGTATGTATTTGAAAAGCATCTATATATTGGTTTTCATTATGAAAACCTTCAATATAACTTTCAACAAAGTATAAGATTCATAGTTTCATTAATATGTTCATTTTATGACTTAAGTTAATTAATCATCTGAAGTGACAGAAATTATGTTCTTACCTCTGAATGAGCAGAGAGAAGTATATAGGGTGCATCATAAGGTCAGCTATGTTGACCTGGGTTCCCCAAAATCAACCACCCTTGGTTCTGTTTGGTTGACACACCATTATTGGTGCACTGAAGGTAGTTCTTTGGTAACCAGTGCTTGTGAAAATGTGGGAAACATGATAAAACCTAATACAAGAGACACATTCAATAGTCAAAAATTGTTCCAGAATCCATCGTGACATCTAGTCATCTACTTTTCAACAAGCCTGCTTCTTAAAATACAACCTTTGTTTTGACTTTTGATTTTTCCGAGATCAATATCTATTTCAGTTTTACCTATTTCTATTCCAACAGAAAAGATTTTTAGAGAGAAAATTTTTGTTGTTATCAATTGATTCTTTTTTGCCTTATAATATATGAAGGATATTATGATAAAAATTATGAAGTACAACTTTCTATCTTTAACATTATGTATTTTATATTTTTAAACACTAATTTAACACAATATTGACAAATGTAATTAATTTTAGGGAAGTAAATCATTGTTATTAGACAACAATCAGGATCAGAAGAGCAATGTATTTGATGCCTTAAAAACAAACAGGAATTTAACAGATTAAAAGAGTGACACTGTTTTTAAAAATATATGCAAAATATTTATTATCTTTAAAGTAAAATATAATATGGAATGATATTAACAATATTAATAGAACACATTATAAATTATAACCTGTAAATATTTTTTACTTAATTGACTTGGTAAAAATGTCTGAAATTAAATGTAAAAATTCTTACTACTTTCTAAAGAGTAAGTCATAGATAATATAACAGACATTTATTACAAAGAATATTTTTATTCAACATCTTTTTCGTGTCTCCCTCCAATATTTTTAGTAAATATTTTTTACTTAATTGACTTGGTAAAAATGTCTGAAATTAAATGTAAAAATTCTTACTACTTTCTAAAGAGTAAGTCATAGATAATATAACAGACATTTATTACAAAGAATATTTTTATTCAACATCTTTTTCGTGTCTCCCTCCAATATTTTTAGTGTATTTAGTAAATGTAAAAGTACATATAATGTTTAATATCCTCATTTAACAAGGATTAAAAAAGATATTAAAAAAGTATCTGCATTTACTTACTTCAATTTTAGTTCTGAGGTTACAGGTCAAAGTTTACCTTTAATTATAAAGACATTTTTGTTTACCATGAAAATTGAGATTACATTTTCTCCTTTGCACAATTTCTCATGAGTTCTTTAAGAAGCATTATTACTAAGTCCTTTTAAAAATGAACACATTTTAAAAATAATTTGCTTGACTTTATTTATATGATTTATTAGTCCAGCACTTTTATTATGATAAAGCTTGTGAGCATTAAATCAATTGAAATTTTTTTTTATTTCATTAAATTTTATGTGAAGATTGGAATAAAGGACATTTTGGAGGTCTTTTACTTACTTTTATTTAACATCAAAGCAGAATAATTTATAAAAATACCTTTCATATCTAGTTATATTAATAAACTGTATAGAGACAGAAGTAATCATATATGTTCTTTTAAAGTTTTAAGCAATCAGGTACAAAGTCTGCCCTCTTAAATACAGGGCACATGCTCATGTAATAATACTTCCTGCTATTTGTAAGTAAATAGTGAATATTGGGAGACTTGTGTCTAAATACAGATTTCCTAAATTTAAGATACATTAATATAATTTTCAGAATACATAGGAAGTGTTTATCTTATGTTTATTTTACTCGTTGAAAATTAGATATTTTGTCATAAGTGATTAATTAAAGTCTCTCCTTTTTCATTGCTGCCTTCTCTTGTTCTCTCTCTCCCTCTCAGCAATAAGTTTATATCTCAAGAGCTCTATTTTTAAGTAGTCTTTTTTCTTTCCATTGACTGTCTGTGTAGTTTATTTCATAAACACTTTACCAAAATATTTTCATTATCTATATTTTATCAATAGGTCATTCCTTACTGTTAATTGTCAGGAAAATTTTTAGGAAATTTTTTATTATTTGAATTAGAGAAATCCATCTATTCGATATAATAGAATTATTGGCTAAATAATTCTTTTATTGTCTGCTAATGCCATTCAGATCAGCTCTAGTAGCCTAGTGGTGAAAAGCTCTGCTGTAATCCCACAGCATGTGGTTCTAATTCACCAGCCAGAGAATGGCCCATTCACTGGATGGTCAGCTATAGGTCCTTTCCAACTCAAAGGCAGACAACAACAACGTTAATTATTTACCATAATTATGTGCAGAGGTCTATCAAACCTTTCAAAATTACATATACATGTTACTGGGCTGTTGTTGCTGTGTGTCATTGAGTCGAACTGACCCAAAATTGACCCTACCGCAGGTTTTCAAAGGCAGTAATCCACAGGGGAGGAAATTGCTCATCCTTCTCCTGCCGCCAGTGGATTTGAATCAACTGCCTTTGGGATGATAATACAGCTTCTTACCATTCTCCCAAAGTTATATTTCTTTTGGGAAGCTGTGGCTACAGAGCTTGGCTCTTAAATATTGGTGGTCAGCTTTACACTCTTGGAAACTTCGTGAGACAGTTCTACTTTGTCATACTGGGCTGCTGTGAGTTGGGGAATCGGAAAGCAAAGCGTTATATGCATACCACTACCTTCATTTCTATATTTATCTATATATATATATAGACTTCCAAAGTAAATTATTTGAGAATCATTAACTTTTGAAAAACCTTTAGATTTTTATATAAAAAAGTATAGTCTTTAAAATGTTGTTGCTTTATTATATTTCAAAGTAGAAATCTATCTCTTGATAAAAAATATCTAATTGTTTTCGTAGGTATTCTTTTTTTTTTTCTTGAGCAGGAAGCACAAAGGAACAGAATGATAGCAATCCATGCGCTGAGGCTTCAACACCTTGTTCATTAAAAGTTACATTTTGTATCATACCTTTATTAAATCATAGTTTTATTTTGTTTCTGTTTTACACTCTCTCAGATATTCATATTTTTTTCACATGTAAAACTCAAATGAAGTTTTGGGCCATTCTGAAAATTTTGGAATTTCATTGGCTCAATAAAATGGAGGATTTCTTCCATGCTTAAAGTGAAAATAATAATAATCTTATAAAAAACAATTTATTTGTATGTATTGTGCTGAAATAGAATACTGATTTGAGATTTTCTTGTTCATATCTACTTATGCTATGAGTGGATAAAATATTATATGTATTGGATGGAATATTTGGAGAGTTCTTAAAATTGCTTCTTGGCAGAGTTTCATATCATAAACTGGGCATTTTAACTCTGAAAGAATTCCAGGAAAAAATGAGAACTTGGCCTCTGCAAATGTCATCAAATCTAGCTAATCTGTACTTCTTACCCAGAATACATAATACTGTGTGGTATCGTTAACTAGCAGATATTTTTTAAATGTTTAAAATGAAATTTTCCCTGTTGACTTGATATTTTCATAAAACTGCTAAACTGATTTTCTACCAGCTCCTTCATTTCACTTTACAAATCCATTTCATACTTGTTATTAGATCCCTCTCTGGGCGCATTGTTGGAGGTGTGTGGTGGTTCTTTACCCTGATCATAATCTCATCCTACACGGCTAATTTAGCTGCCTTCCTGACTGTAGAGAGGATGGTGTCTCCCATCGAAAGTGCTGAGGATCTTTCTAAGCAAACAGAAATTGCTTATGGGACTTTAGACTCTGGCTCCACAAAAGAGTTTTTTAGGGTAAGTGATGCATGCTTATGTATCATTTGATTTTGTCTTTAGTTTGACCTATTTAAATTTTGCTGTCCCTTGTCCCTCTCAAAGGTGCAATGGGAAGGTAACCTTCATGCTTTTCCCTCCTAGGCTGTGTTTTCTTCACTTCCCTACCCTTATTTTCTGTTCCAAACTTATCCCTGTCTCTATTCTTGTTCTTAACTCTGTTTCTATCCATTTCCCAATCCTTAACTTAGTTGGAAAACCATAAATGTTACAATAAATCACAATTTTAGAATGACTGTGTGTTATTCAGCCAAATGGAATAAAGGATGATTAAATTGAAAATTTTTAAATATAAAAAAACACTGTAATGAATATAACATGTAAAAGAAAAACTCACATTGTAACTAGTTATGCTAGTTCTTTATGAGAAAACAGATTCTTTTCACACGGAAATTTCTAAATCTGCTGTGTGAAACCTTCAAAGCAATACCGGTTGTTGCTGTTAAGTGCTGTCAGGAGACTCATAGCGACCCTATGAAGGAGTGTCCTTGACACTTGGGTGCCTTTCATCCTCTCTCCAGGTTCATAGCGTTTCTGGAAGCAAGCTATTATGGAAGTGGATGCCCCTCTT